CTTAGGGATGATTTTAAGAATAATTTTAATAGGAAATACAGCTTCTAATATTTGGTTTTTAATTTGGTTTTATAGGGGTTTATATTTTTTGTATTTGTATTTGTACTTGTTTTAATATGCTGTACACCGCCCTGAGTCCTGCGGGAGAAGGGCGGTATATAAATTAAATTATTATTATTATTATTATTATTATTATTATTATTATTATTATTATTATTATTATTTATGGAGTGAATTTTGGATTCCGCCCAGCGGGCTTGTGTGGGATCCCAAAGTCTGGCCTGGAGCCCCTCTAGGAAGGCATTGATATTTCCCAGTTCCGGAGCTCCCTCATCGTGGAGCAACACTATCCATTCAGCGGCTTCTTCCAGATTCATAGTGATTGGCATTCACACAGGCCCCTTCATCTGGGAACGCTGCTTCATGCCACTGTAGGTAGATCCATACCTGGTTCAGGAATTTCTCTGTCCGTTTGTCTAACGTGGCTTTCAAAGGCGGTGGCTCACAGTCATCACGGACTAGCAGGTAGCCGGGTGGCACTTCTACAACTTGCTGGGTGGTGTGAGCTGGAGCTCTCCCTGCTGCATGGACTGGCGGGGCTGCCTGGCGGCTGCTGGTAAAATCCCAGCCATTCTCCTGTTCCCTGCCATCCCGACTTGGCTTGGCTGTGGCATCAATCATCTTCTTGGTTCCTGACATCACTATGCTACAATCCACTATGCTACAATCTGAGTAGGCTGCACTCATAACATTAGTGAGCTGGTTTAATGTCAACTGTCTGACTAGGGAACTCAAAATCAAGGAATCTTCAAGGCTTTGACATGCCATAAAGGATAAAACTTTATTGAGTGCACATCTCAGAACTGAAGAAGCAAAACCAGCTCTGGTTTTCCTGTGTGAAATTTTGCCTAGCTTCCTTTAACCCCCACCCACCGGGTATTCAATTATCCAATCATATATCTCTGGTTTGTTCTGGGAACAGTCCACTTCTCCGACAGACACCTGCATTAGTGACCCTGGCATTCTTGTAGGTTCTCATTGTCTGTGGACGGCTTCTTAGAATCCCGTTTCCTCCCTAGGCTTTCTACCCCTCCCCCCTGTTTCTATGGCAAGTTGAGTAGCGATAGAAGTTAGCTGGCATCTTAGCAGTTCAACCTTGACAAGTAGTTAGAACCAGAAGTAATGATTGTGAGTGCAGATCTGCAGGTTTTTACAAAGAAAAACTTCCTGGGGGCAAGATCTGTACAACAGTAGAAGGTCAATCAATGGAAGTCGTGAGTTGTCCATTTCTGAAGGTTTCTAAGAGAATGTTGATCTGCCCCGTCTTATGGAAATGGTTGGCTTCCTGTACATTATAGAATGTTAGACTGATAATATTTTTGATTGCTTTCAGCTTCATAATTCTATGGTTCTGTGATATTTTTATGCTTCTCATATATCTAATTTTTACTTTCATAACAAAACTGGGCAGAAGCATGCTAATGCAGTTATTTTATTAAAATATTTTATTTATAAGTGTTTTTATTATTTAATCATTATTTGTTATATTAATGTATTTTTAAAGTTTACTTTTGCCAATTTACATATCTACCGTGTAAGTCTAAGAAAAAAAGCAGGTTTTTATTGAGGAGATGCCAACAAATACACATCCATGACCATTTAGAATATCATGTACTGTAAGTTTTGAATTCATGTATTATTTATATAGCTATACAGCATATATATAAAATCATATATGTATGTAATTTTTTCCCTCAATAGTATCCAACCATGTACAGTACAGACCCTGAAAATGGGCATATCTTTAACTGTATCCAGAGGGCACACCAGAACACGTAAGTAGTCTGTATTGCATTGTGCTTATTCCTGGTTTCTTCCAGATTTGGTGCCTAGAAAACATCTGAATTCCACTGTAAACTAGAGAGGAAATCTATATTGGTTATTTTGATGCAGCACTCATGATATATCTTTTCTCCTAAGGACATAAATGGGGCAGGCTGTCATGTTCCTTGTTCTGTGTTTATACATTATGAAATGCTACTATTGGTCATTTGGATGTAATTCTAGACAGGTGCAGGGCACATGGTTGGGAAGACAGCAACCAAGAATATAAAAACAGAGCAAAATTATAAATTGTAAGATGAATCTGCTTGTGTTTACTATTATGATTGCAGGCAAGCTAACGGTATCAAGGTATAGCAGAATATTCTGCTTTATTTTGGGGGATATGTTAGGTTGTATATAATGTTCAGTTGGACGTAAATTTTTAAAACCCATTAATGAAGTGTATTTAAACATCTGACTGTTTTTAGCTTGGAAACATATCCCTCCTTCCTGTTCTTTCTTGGAATCAGTGGGATCTATTACCCGGTAAGAACAATATTTAGGTCTGGATATGATTAGCAATTTGTTCAATGGAAGTTGGTGTATCTTTTAAACCCCAAAATGTTTCTTAAGACAATATAGTAAAACCAGAGGCAGATGAATTAATGTTGTATATCCAAACCCATCCATCTTTTAGTTATAGCTGATAATTTGTATTTGTATATTTTATTCTTTTTAATGTGTTATTCTTAATGTATACATATTGTTGTATTTTTTTATTCTTTAATGCTATAAGCCACCCAGAGTCACCTCATGGTGAAATGGGCGGTGGCAAACAAATTTAATAAATAACTTTGATACAGTAATCAGCATCTGGTATCAGTGTAAAATATTGCATCCTGATTTGCAAGTTGTTGTTTTTTAAATTAGCACTCTTGCATTGCAGAAAAATAAGAAATACAGGAACTTATTATTGGTAGCTTGATGGATGTTCAATTGACCATAGTTAAACCAAAGTTATTCGTTTAAGAAACTGGAAGATTGTCTCTGAAATAAATAATTTTGGATTGATATTGATGACAGCTATTGCCAACACATCTTAGGAAAATGAATCAGACCACAAAAAGTTGATCTTTTTAACCAGTGAATGTGCTCTCTTTGTCAATAATCATTTCACCATCAAAATAAATTCACACTATTAAAGAAGCTCTCAATGTAACTTGATAAAGAGAAAGTTGGAAAGAATGGATAAAAAGGTAAAAGATATACAGTGTAAAAGAGAGCAAGTTTAATTGGACTGATCATGTCACTTCATAATTTTTGCACTTGCCCAATACAGGGAGTTAAAAAGAATTGGAGCAAATGAAATAGTGGAGTAAGTTTGTAACTGTCTTTATTTACTTTCTTGGCTAGTATAACCACATCTTTCCAGAATAATTCTCCCACAGTATAAATCTTAATTGTAGTCTTAACTGTCCATTTAATATCCACTTAATTGTAAACATCCTTTCATGTGCAATTATTCATTCTTCATAGCGTGTTGCTACAGGACTTGGTATAGCATGGATAATTGGAAGAATACTGTATGCTTATGGCTATTACACAGGAGGTGAGTCCTTATATAGGAGTTACAATCATTTCTTGCAAAGCTGTTTTCATCTCTGTGGTGTTGTTTTTAAACTCCTGCTTCACTTGACAGCCAGATACTGTTTTACAAAATTCGAGTTGTTCTGTCAAGATTAGTCTGAATTCATAGTTAAAGTTTAATTTTAGACTATATAGCTGGTCCTATATTTTCCTCAGAAAATGGAAAAAAATAAGAGAAAAACACACCTTAATTTACCTAGACCATTATGACTTTATTTATCGGTAAAATGAGACTAAATTCACAGATTGTATCAAAGCATTTTTTAATTTTTTAAAAATGTTATTAAAACCAACATGACCAAATTTAGAATGACTGGCTCATGAAACTTGCTAAGACAAGTATTTTAATGTGGCTGTGTGCATTGTGAGAATCCAGGGTGATTCTAATCAGTTCTTGGTTTATTCAGCAAATTTTGCTTAAAAATCTGGCTTGCACTATATAATGGATATATATAGACTGTATTATTCCCAGAAAACATTTGCAGTCAAAAATAAGATGTTGGGTTTATCTATACATAATGCTAAGTGATAAAATGAATTTGCACATTATATTAAACCATAGAGAAGCATAATATATTTGTGAAAAAAGTCCATGTGTTAGTATTCCCCAGGGAATAAAATGGAAAATCATGGTTAGAAAAAACAGACAAGAGGAAAAATTGAATGTGTTTATCTGAATGTTTAGTTGCCTAGCTTTTTCTTGTACACAGCCAGCCCCAAAGACACCCCTGCATGTTTTCTAGAGAACATTCTAAAATCAAGGGAAAGAGGAATAGGAGAAGTTGGGTGAACTGCCCAGTTTATATGTAGAAAGAGCTAACTATGGAAAATGTAATAAGTGACCATCCTACTAGGAGTGTTTGGGAAACAATGCTTCATGAATTAAAAATGCTAGGCAGATACCTAGCCCTTTATTTAAAATTGGAAAGCATGTGCCATGAGTAGAAAGCATGTAGGAATTACAAACTAGTAAGAGACCCACATAACAAAAATGACACATAGAAGGTTGCTCAAGATAGTCTGTAATATCATATAAATAAGCAATGACTTTATTTCTGTGAAGGACGCTATTTTATATATGAAGATGACAACAATTTCCTTGAAGCATCCAGAACTTATTGGACAATAAAAAAAGCATTTCAACAAAAAATATATTTTGCATTGTTAATGTTGCTATTTGTATTATGCCATGTGAATGTTCTGTCTTCCCTTTATAGATCCTAATAAGAGAAATCGTGGAGTCCTTGGTTCCATTGCACATCTTTGTTTGGCAGGGATCACTGTTTACTCAGCTTTCCAGCATCTTGGCTGGATCTGCAGAGCCTAGGCAGCATCCATTCTGGTGACATCCTGAGATGTCTTTAAATGTATTTCACATGTAATTTTTATCATTACTTTAAAAAAAATAAAAACAAGTGAATCACCTCTGGTTCCAATGTCTTCTTGTTAAAACTTGGCAGCTTGCCAGGTTTGTTTTGCTCCTAACCAGATATTTCTGTGGTACTGGATTTAGCATTTCCCTTGTTTTATAATTATAGGCATTGCCTGGTAAGGGTTTATAAATGTTCTTGAATGTATCTTTAGAAGGCCTTCAAAAAACTGTAGAACTGCAGAAAAACTGTTTTCAATTTGATAGCTGATATAAAATATATATAGAAAAAAAATTAAATGCAATATCAGAGCATGCAGTAATATAAGTTGGACCAGTTTCAGCTACATTCTAGAAACACATCTCCAGGCTCCCACCCCTTGGATTTTCTCCCATTTATTATCTATGGGCTATGACCAAGTAACAGCCCCACTCAGATCATGCGTGTTTGATATAAACCATCAAAACTAAGCTGGTGAAGTAGCATCACCTTAGCCCAAATGTAATGTTCTCACCACTTTGTGAGAACATTAGTAACCACTTTGTACTAAAGACACCATACCGACTATGATTATGTCCTCATGATAGGTTGAAATTATAAACATGTTCTAAACTGCTGTTTTTATATCCAAACTCCTCTAGTATTCCACTTGTAACTATCAAAATAGGATTCGCCAACTTCAATTGTGTACAATTTCTATTTTCTGATATCCTGAAAAAACGTACTAGGTGACCAGGTTTTGTGTGGTGGCATTAAGAGCAACTGGAGCTGTCTTGAGTATGGATACCCATACAAATAATTGAGTATAGATAACTCTTGGTTATTTACATGTTTATATCTTTGGGATATACATGCCATATCAGTTACTATATTGTATATATTCTCAAGTTTGACACGAAACTGTAAACAGTTTCCAAAAACCTTTTAGATTATTTTATTGTTTTACTTGCCTATAATTACTTGAATTCTATGCTACTATTTTAAAAAAAATTATTACTCCAGTTGTTAATATCTTTTTTTGTACATGTAGGTAGCTGGAGCAAGCATTAAGTATTCTGTTTTAATACTGTTTTAGCCAAAATGTTATGTATGTATTTTGTCTGTTTGGATGTTGTTGATTCAACTTCAGATGCTTGCACATCATTTATTTTGAGTTGGTTAATAATTTAATAAAGTATTTCAGTTTTTCTTAATTGCTGCCCAGGTAAATAAAAGAGGTTGGAAGATTTCCAAAGAGCTCTTTGTAGATAAATCTCTGCTTTCCAATGCATTGTTCCAACTTTTATACTCAGTGTTAAGTTTCTATGCTGGTTCTCACAATAAGAATTCACATTCTGGTCTCATATGTTTCCTTCTTGTTGGGTGTTTTCAGTTTTTTCTCAAAGAAATAAAGCGTTTTTATAGCAGCCATAAAATCATGATAGATTTTTTTTAGTCCATTTCCATTTATTAGCACTAAATGGTGCCAGTTGAAGATTTGCTTCTTCAGCTCTCTTTTCTTGTTATAATCACTATTTCTTATTTTCCATTTTAAGTACCTTTATTTAGCCAAATTGGTTTCCCAGCAAAGCCCTAAGCAAAGTCTATTTTTTTAAAACATATAGTTTCTTTACCTATCTCTTTTTTCATACCTGCCTGAACGGGTAGCTGATTCCCGTCCTAGGCCTCAAGCAAGCTTTACACTGGGGAGTCTATCTCGACCCTCGGAACTAGAACATCCCATGATTCCCTTATTTCTGATGCAGGGGTTCAATTTGTTTCTATCGGGTCTGGCGCACTGAAGCCTCCTTGTGAGACTTCCGCCTTCCACCACGGTTTTGGGTCAAAAGGGACCCCGGAGGACTCTGGATCCCTCCTTGAGGGCACTCCTTGAGGGCACTCCTTGAGGGATCTACCACCATGGTTTCAGACCAAAAATGGGTCTGTTGAGGACACTTCTGCTCCCCTGCAGAAGGTACGTGGCACTCTTACTGGCTTTAACTTCACTTTTCACCACCGCTGTTTGCAGACTTCAAATGTCTGGGACGACCTCTGCTTGCTTTCCAGAGGTAAGGGACTTAATTTTGCTTTGCTTTGCTTACAGGGCCTTACCAGCTAGTTGTCTAAATCCAATTCTTTCATTCACTCATTCCATTTCATTTTCACACAGCCTCTCCCTTTTCCTTAACAAAAGGTTCTGTGCTCTGACCAAACCCCCATGCTTTCCAGGTTCTGCCAATTAAACAGATCCTTTCTGTGGCTAGGAAAGACCAGAAGGAGCAAAATCCAACTGTGATTGGGGAAAAAGGGTATTCTCACACACACACAGAAATACATACATTTCTCTCACTCCCCTGGGCTTTAAAGTTAAAATTTAGAGGTACTCACCTTCACCTTCTTTCCAAAGCAGCCCTTGAGCTCAAACTCTCAAAACTCCCTTTACTACCCTGGCTCCATATGTGCAGGGCCTGGGAAACCCATCCACAGACACAAGGGGTCTGCTGCCGGCAAGATGGGGCTTACCAGTCTCAGTCCATTGGAGAGGTTAGCTTGGAGTCCCATCTCTGGGGTGCCAAATTGTCAGAAGTAAAGTCTTCATCCTGGTTCATCCAAGCCGAGAATAAATAAGCAACATGGCGACTGCTTTGGGAAGAAGGTTACAGTTTATTGAAGAGGCAGAAAGATGGTTCTTGCAAGAAAGAGCAGAGGGAAGAAGGAGAGCTGAGCACATGGGCTAGGGGTTTTTATACCCCCTCTAGCCTTTTGTTTGGAATAGTTTCCTGTTCCTGGCATGAACTTTGAGGCTATTTCTGAGTGTTTTTCTAGGCCTTGATATCTGTGGTTTAATCCTATTATCATATCCTGCTTCCCTGGGGGTGGGCTAATGACTCTTAAGAGTTTGGGTGGGCTATGCAGATTTTCTCTTTGTCTTCTTGAGTTCTCTGGCTCCAGCTTTCTGATGGTTTTACATCTGCATTTGTATAGGGCTGGCTACTGCTTGGGGCAAAGAGATGAGGCCAGGGTTGGTTTTTGGTTTTAAAAATCCTTTTGAGGAAAAATATATTTTTCTGCCCTTTTAATATTTCCTTCTCTGGGCTAACTTCCCTCAGTATCATTTAATATGTAGCAGGAAATATGTAGGAGGCTGTTGGAAAGAGTGTAACTTCATAGTACCTCAGCCAATGGGGAAAGAGGAGGGATGTGGTGGCCGGGACAGGGATGTATAAAGAAGGAAATATTTTGGGTTGGAACTTTGGAGAGAACCAAGCTTTGATACTTTCTCTCCCTGCTTATTGCAATAAACAAAACAAGCCGTTCACTGTGTCTTCGCTGGTTATTGGTCAGGCGAGCTTGCCTCTGGTCAGGAAGGAAAGTAGCCAGGAGCACATAACATTAGGGACTATCAACAGAAATTAATGGTTGGATGTTTTTCCCAAAATTAGAAATAAATTGCAAGGCATGTTTTCTAAATTGCCTTGATTTATTGCTGATTATTTTAAGTTTATCCATTCAATAATGCCAGCTCTCTTGAGATTAGAACTTTGAAATTAAAGTGTGAAAATTTATGTGACAAGATGGAGTAGGTAGGACCTTGTTAATCTGGCACATTAATGAAGCCCTGAAACTGGTCTTCTGGCTTGTGAGAAAAATAAATAATTCCTGGGAGTAGAAAATATGATAAATAAAATAAAAAATGGTGCAAAAATAAAAACAGCTTTTACAGTCCTCTATATAGTACAAATCATATAGTCTAAATTATCAATCAACTATATACAAGGCATGAAATTAAAAAAAATGCCTTGACATATCATTGATCATTCTAGACAAAACAACTGAAGGAAATTCGAATATACGGATTCCTCAAAAATCCTCGTCCTTGCCCCGGTGTCCCAAAAAATATCATTTGCAATATGCAGCTAACAGGTTGTTTTCAACGTGATCTAATTTTTGAATGTTGCAAATCTTAAATGATTAAAATATTCGAAATAAAATTTGAGGTAGAAAAAGAAAGTGTTCTTGTTAGTTTCGGGGTGACTGCCCGTTCGATGTCTGCTAAGCAATCACAGCTTTTCTTTAACGTACGACTCTTCAATAATTCCCAAAAGAGATCACAGACCACTTTTTAAAAATGTCGAATCTCAGAATTTATTAGGAAATCTGACAGGTTACGCTTACTTCTCTCTTTTTTCTCTATGGTAAAGAGGGAGTGGTGAGGGCATAGGGAAGCGACTGAGCTTCAGATTCACTGTTGTGCATGCGTACTTGACGCTTACTTCCTGTCAAGCTCCGTAACTTCGTGCCGCTTTTGAGAGAGAGGCGCAGGAATAAGTCCATAAAGATAATGAATTGCCAACGATCGGCATCCGCTTACCTACCGGCAGCTATTGCAGCGCTGAGCCTGAGCCTGCCTGGCTCGCACGTTTCTCCAGAGACTTTCCGGCAAGCCAAGTTCGATCAACCTCAGGTGGTGGGTAGGGGAAAGGGGAAGCGATTCTGTACATGCCCCTGGCCGCTTTCATCCTAACTGGGTGGTATGTTCAGGCACTGAGCACGAATTTATGTTGGCCGGCAGTGTTTGTTCGAGACATACTAGGCAGCTTAAAAAACGAGACTAGACCTCAACGGTGTAAGGCAATTTCTCAACCACAGCTACTTTTAAGATGTGAGGGCTGGGGAATTCTGGGAGTTGAAGTCCAGACATCTTAAAGCGGCTGAGACTGAGAGACGCCGTCGTAGGGTAACAGCTGCCTTTGATTAGTGGCCCTCTCGCCGAAGGGAGGCGGGGTTGGTCGGATGGACTAGGAAAAGCGTCTGGTTTGCGCAACGCAGCTTTTCAGCCGAAAAATGAAAAAAAATGATGTTTTTTCGATGAAAAGGGCTTTCTTCGGTTCAGGGGAATGTATCCTAGGAAACAGTCTCACTTCCTTCTTTCTGAGTCTCCGACTGCAGAGTTGCTTTTACGTGTTCCACGGAGATATTATAACCATGCTTGCTGAGGGGCTCAAGTTTTTAAAACGAAGCTCCAGTCTACTAATTTATTTTGTCAGCTGCTGCTAATCTTTTTAAGAGAAATTTGGTAACGCTTAGGTGAATAGAGAGAACCAAAAAAGGATAAAACAAATGCAAAATTTTGATAGAATACAAAAAACATTCCATCACTATAAACAGTTAATGAGGTTTAAAAATTATAATCACAATTATATTCAATTATGTTTATACCCCAGAATGCACGTGTCTCCCTATTATATAGATATTAAATCCACATTTGTTGATACATTGAAATATGAAAATTATATCTGAATTTAGCTACAATATTCTTCAAAATCATTACTTTGAACGATTCTGCAGTTGAAATATCCTTATTCTATTTAATATTCAATTGGATAATCTGCACTTTCAATGGCAATCAATTGGGCAGCCATAAAAGGTACTTAAATGTTAAATACTATATTTTAAAAAAACAACAACAATATCTGGTGATATTTTATGAATTAAACAATTCGTTCTCTATTTTTAACAGAGTTTAACATTCTGGAAACTACTATATCATCTCCTGAATCAAATCCATGGTGGAGGACAGATAAAATCTGCTGATATAGGTAGCAAAACATGTTTAGTTTTGGAGGGTGGGGGAGAATGCAAATAGCAAAACTATCTTATTTGTTTATGAAATGTATTAACAGCCTCAGTCTGAAAGGTGGTACATGAATTATAAAATGATAAAAGCTTTGGGCAGCTATAAAAATTTGAATAAAAACGGTAAAAGTATAACATCTCTTCATACATTAAGAAGTTGTTGAAAATCTCTGCTTGGCACTGTGAGGAATAAAAATTCAACTCCAAGGGTGTTGGAAAACAAAACAAGTTTTATTAAAGCTTTTGCAAAAGCGGTGGAACTCTTGGTAATGGCAAATCCCAGAGTCCACACTTGAATCAATTTTTGCATAGGTTTTTATACCGTCCTGTGCATCATGCCACATCCTTCCAAAGTGAGCCCAGTTGATAGGCCCATCCGGTCACATGCTTTCCGACCACCTAGCAATCATTACAATTACCAAGCCCTCCAATTATTAGATCAAAAAGCCCACTTTTGTTCCTGTCTTATTTTCACTCCCTTTTCCATGGCATGATTTGTAACATCCTGCTAACTAAGGGTATAGCTTTATCTACAAGGTGAACTGTTACCCAAACTGGATAATTGCAATTATAAAAGATTTGTCTTCTTTCCTTGTTTATCTATAAGAACGTCTGTGTGTAACAGAATTCATGCTTCGGTTAAACATGGCCGCACTTTGGTTCATAGTTATACTTTAAAATACTAACTCTAAGCAGTTTTTATAAAGAATAAGCCTTATATAAAATGAATAATATGTTATTCAGAAGCTATATGCTATTCTACAATAGTGTACACTATTCTAAAAGTATCCTTTAAGTCAGTATATATAATTCCTCTCTATTCCTTCAGCTTATTATATCTCCTTTCCTAAAAGTATCTTAGCTAAGTGCCTCTATATGCCTATTCCTTTAACAGAAATGGAAAATTACAACATTTACATTTATTGTGTACCTCACAGCACTGAAATTATGGTAGTGTCAGATGATCCTCTCTGAATGTTGGAGCAATGGAACTTGCCACTTGCTTCAATCCAAATGCCAATTAGGTAATTACTGACAATAATTGATGAAGCAGCAGGCTCTGCAAAGTAAATGTTTTTTTGCTGCTCATTGCGAAAAAGTAGCAATGTATTTTGGCGTGTATTCGGTCATCCACATAGTAAGCCTTACACTAGTAATTCTTACAAGTGCTCCATCTGTTATCCAACTTGCTTCAAAAAATCAGATTTTTGCTCAGGTGCAACCATATTGATAGCCCCTTTTGCCTCACTATTTGATCAGAATAATTAATCTTTCTAGAGATAGTTTCTTTACTCACTGCTGGTGAGCATTGGGGCTTTGAGAAATGCTTCACCAAGGAATAATATGACCATGATTGTTTTAATTGTCTCACCATTACACTACTCTGTCACACTCAGAAGTAAGCTCTTACCAACTCTGATGCCCAGCAAACATGCATTGAGAACTGAGTGACTCTGCAATTTTATGAAATCCAGATAGAATTGTTCCAGGCAGTTTCCTCATAAAATCTCACAAAGCATTTGATAATTGTTTTATTGTTTTGTTACATATACATGCTAGAGTATTAAATTACTGTGTTTATAGCTTTATTAGCTCATGAACATTACTTTGATTCCAGTGTTGCTATAGTTTTTATATAGTGAACTCTACATAACATATTGATGTAGATACATTTATTTGTTTATTTATGAATGCTTTCAAGTCAGTTTTGACTTCTGGCAACTGGTCTATGCAGGTTTTTTGACAATGTTTTCAGAAGCAGTTTGCCATTGCCTTTTTAGGGGTAAGTGCAAGTGATTAGCTCAAGATTACCCAAGTGGTTTTAGCATCTGAGACAGGGCAAAAACTGAAATAGATAATTTATTTGTTTCTTTGTTCTAGAAAAGTGCAAAGCTGCTTAGGCAGAGAGCCCTGCTGCCAGTGTGCTATGCTACTCTCTGTATGGATTAGCTGTATGCTACTATCTTATACCAGGAATGATGTTGTCCAAATTAGGAGGCATATGTTATACTGTAATATACTCTGTGTGTGTGTGTGTATACTATTCTCTAATTATACTAAAAGTGTGAATCCCGGGTATATTCATGTTGAAAGCTAAATTTATTAAACAATTGTTAGTTTATTAAACAGTTGTTTTTATATTTATCCCGGTGTTCAACTATTTTTCTCAAATATATATATATATATATACACATACATACATACATACATACATACATACATACATACATACATACATACATACATACATACAGGAAGTTTTTCAGACAGACCGGTCTGATTGATTACACCTTGACATTTTAACTGATATATTGCAGTTTTACTTTTTACAATATCTTTTGCCTTGCAGCCCCCCAACTAGGGGCGTTAAGCAGGCTCAAGTCGCAACTGTGAAACATTTTAAATCCATTTTTTTTTTATCTTTTTCTGACAAAGAGTTAAAGAATTAACTGCAGTATAGCAGTTAAAATGTCAAGGTGTAATCAGTCAGACCGGTCTGTCTGAAAAACGTCCTGTATATACTCCCTTGACTCGGCTGGCAAAGAGGGGAGGAAAGCCTGTGGCTTGGTGGTTAAATCACTGCCTAGTATGTAAACTGCCCAGGGTCGAATCCCATAAAGGGTGTGGCTAACTGAAGAGAGCAGAACGAGCTCGAAATGGCCATCTTAGTCTCCCAATTTAATTCTTTAACTCTTTGTCAGAAAAACAAATATATATATATATATATATATATATATATATATATATATATATATATATATATATATATATACCGTATATACTCGAGTATAAGCCGAGTTTTTCAGCCCATTTTGGGGGCTGAAAAATGCCCCCCTCGGCTTATACTCGAGTCAGCGCCTCGAAGCAGCCGCTGGTGCTGCCGCCACCGCCGCCAGGCAAGCCACGGCGGCTCGCCGCTCGCTCCCCCTCCCCTGGCGCTGCGCTCCGCCTGCTTGCCTGGCGGCNTTCCCTGTGGCGCTGCGTGTCAAGGCCGGGACGGAATACCCCGGGCCACTGCAGCCAAGCGCGAGGGGGAACGCCAGACGCCTCGCGCGAAGGGGGGAGGCCTGGCGACGCTGCGCCCTGCCGGGCGCTCACCAACAGGGCTAGGGAGGCTGAGGCGGCCAGGGAGGAATAGCCAACTGCCGGCAACCAGCCGGAACTGCTGGGGCCAGCCCGTATTGAAGAATACGGCCGAATTTACCCGGGCTGGCCGAGAAAGGCGCACCTCCAGCCTTCTCCGCAACCGGGAGAAGCCCCCTCCCTTTTGCAAGGTCGCCCCCTCCCCGCTTTTGGGGTGGGGGAGGATTGAGAGAGAGAGAGAGACACACACAAACACACACACACACAAAGAGGAGAGGGGAGCCGGCCGGCCCACCCGTTTCCCCCTTTCCCTGCGCGAGCATGTGTGGATTTCCCCCCCCCTTTTTTTCTGCCCGCCTCTCTCGCCCGCCCGCCCGGTCGGAAAAATGTGTGTGTTGAAAAATGCCCCCTCGGCTTATACGCGAGTCACCATTTTTTCCCAGTTCTTTGAGGAAAAATAGGTCCCTCGGCTTATATTCGGGTCGACTTATACTCGAGTATATACACATTTACACTGTGTAAATGGCAGTGTAAATGGCACAGTGTAAATGGCACAGACGGGTGTGAAAGTGAGAGTGGAGGGTGGGTGAAGGGTATGAGAGAAAAGGGGGGGGATTTTAGGAAGAGAGAGATACGGTGGTGGAAGGGGTGGGAGTGCCATGCAAATGGCGCGAATGGGTGTGAGAGAGGGTGGGGGGTGGGTGAAAGGCACGAGTAAAAAGGGGGAATGCAGGACGAGAGGCACGATGGCAGGAGTGGGAGTGTAGGGTGAGTGGCACGAACGGGTGTGAAAGTGAGAATGGGGGGGAATGAAGGCCATGAGAGGGAAGGGGGAGAAATGTGCGAAAAGAGAGGCACGGCGACAGGACAAGCAAGAGGGTAACATAAATGGCGTGAATGGGGGTGAGAGTGAAGGTGGGGGGGAGTGAAAGGTATGAGAGAGACGAAAGATACGAGAGGGAAGTGGGGGGAATGCAGGAAGAGAGAGGCACGGTGGCAGGATAAGTGGGAGCGCAGTGTAAATGATGTATGTGCATGTACGTGCCCCCGGGGGGGTAAGGGGGAGGAGAGTGAGCTGGGATTGACCACCCGGCGAGCAGACGGAGGAGTGTGGATTGAGGAGAGGGGAGAGATAGAGAGGGTAGATAGGATGTCTGGACAAGAGGGGGGGAAGAAAGACCAGGTAGGTAGAGTACAGCGGCCACCTGATGGGATGGGGGAGGTGGACAGCGGGAAGGAGGAGGAGATTAGGGAAAGAGAAGTAAAAGCACAACAATGTCCCTTTGTAGGGCCGATTACCCGCTCGCGCACAGCTGCTTTACAGAAATACCAAACCCCGATGGAGAGAGAGAGGGGGGGGTGGGGGTCTATGGCATGAGAGAGAAGAAAAAGAAAAAGGGGGAAGACCGAGAAAAAGGGGAGGTGTGCGTATTGAATAAGAAATAGGCAGGAAACAGAGAATGGGTGTGGAACGATCGTGTGAAGCAGGCAAGGTCCAGGTAGATCAACTCATTGAAATGAGAATGGAATTGGAGCGGTGATTGGCCGGTGGAACATCGCGACAGCACCTATGGACCGGGTGCAAAGGCGGCTGTAATATAAGGAGTGCCCTCCCATTGACTGACACGGATCCCTGAAGATGCCAGCAGAAAAGCCGGCGAAAGCTTGGGTCATTATTTATTTATTAAAACCTTTTTAAAAATTTTAAAGGGTTTTGTTTTCCTGGTGCTCATTTATATTTATAAGCTTTTATCATATATATATATATGAGTGCTTTTTGAACACCCTGTCAGCCTAAATATGGGAGAGAGAGAAGCCCAGGTTCGAATCTCGGAAGGGTATGTCTGACTGATGAAAACCAAATAAGGTTAGAAATAGC